ACCTCCAATAACTAAAGCTAAACCAAACCATCAGTTTAACAGAGTTTGGTTTCTCACCTCCTGACCAGGAGAACTGCTGTTGGCTACATCCCAATATTCTGCAAAACATGTCTGCTTGTAGTGCGACAGTCAGAGCACAGCCTATCAGGATGCAGCCCTGATATAGTTTCCTGTTTTGTCAGGTGGGAGAACGCCACCATATTTTTATATCTATGAAGCGATATCCAGTGAGGTCTTAAGAAAGTACTAAGAATTCCAATGAAATACCAACATGTACCCAACACGTTCTGATCAACTCGTTTGGTGGGGACCAGCAGAGGAGTTGTAGTGGTTGTAGTTGCCTCAGTGGTAGTAGTAGTAGTAGTAGTAGTAGTTGTTGTTGTTGTTGTGGAAGTGGTAGTTGGTAGAGGGGAGATAGTAGTAACATTACTTTTTGTAGGGGGGATGTCAGTAGGAGGAAGAGGAGGTAAAGGAGTAGGAGTAGGAGAGAAAGCAGAAGACAGGGTGGCGTCCGTTAGCTCAACTACAAGGGAAGGAAGAAGGAGAGAGCAGAGAGTTAAACACAAGGCAGTAAGAACATCCAACACAACTGCCAAACACTCACACCTGCTAATAAACCATGCTGAGAGAATATGGATGCTTTTCTGCTGCTCTTTTCCACCCACCGCAGTCACAATCAGCTAAATAAAATAACAACACTGCCTCATACAGCATAACTAATGGCAGCATCAAACACTGTATGTATGGAAATGTGTTTGATAGTTACAGTGTGTCATTTTTAGCTACATTTATGGCTAGCAGGCTTTTAGCTAGTAATATTTCACAGAGTGTAGACCTTGGTGTAACACTTCTTTAGAATTTGCACAGCGTAGCATTGTAGGGTGTCGTCCCCCGGAAAATAATCTCTGAAACACTTTATAAGCTATTTCCTGCAATTTGAGGTAGAATTCAGCTAACTTTTTGTCTTTGTTCTGACCCTACTTTTGTCCCGATTAAGAGAAGTATCTGTGCTTGACTAGAGGTGGAAATTTCATAAGGAAAACAATCATATTTTTCATAGGTTCGTTCAAACAACTAAAAGTCGTAGGGAAGCGGCTGTTCCAACCGTTGCATTTCCAAATTCTCCTGAGTGGTGCCCGACACGAGTGTATAAAGTGAATGTGATTGGTCGATTATCAAGGGGATTGGGGGGGATTGTTGTGGCCGGAGATGGGAAGTAACAAAGTACAAATACTTCGTTACTGTACTCAAGTAGATATTTCTGATATT